AGGTGGGCAGATAACGAGTTCAAGAGATCGAAACCAGCCTAGCCAACATGGTGAAACCCCATCTCTACTAAAAATACAAAAATTAGCCAGGTGTGGTGGTGTGCCTGTAGTCTCAGCTACTCAGGACGCTGAGGCAGGAGAATCGCTTGAACCCAGGAGGCAGAGGTTGCAGTGAGCTGAGATCACGCCATTGCACTGCAGCTGGGGCGACAATGCAAGACTCTTGTCTCAAAAAAAAAAAAAAGAAAGAAAGAAAGAAACAAGCTGAGGCAAAAGGCCAGGCTACATTTTTTTTTAAAAGGAGGGCCTGAAATCTTTTTGCTTTCTCCTCCTGTATTCCCTCTCTTCATTAGTGAGATTTGTTAGATTCTCCTAATTCCTTCCTTCTGTGAATCTTCATCTTCATTCAGGCTCTTCTTTGAGTCAGAAGCTTTGTGTGCTACAGTAGCCAGCTCAAGGAGGTTCAGTTGAATAGAATTTGTTGAATACCTGTGACATCCAAGGCCCTGGGCTAGGAATCAGGGATGCATTATGACTTCTGTGGGGCCTGGGCACTCTTCCTTTTGTAGGCCCCTTTCTCCTTCAAAATATGAAAAAATTCAAGACAGCACTGGTATAAAGATGAATATAATCATGACCCTAAAATTCATTTTTTCTTCTAATTTTAAAAGAAATAAACACATTTTTTGTGGGCCCTAGGTATTGAGCCTATTATGCCTTACAGATAAGTCTGCCCTGTTAGAAATGTTTTAATATTGGCCGGGCACAGTGGCTCATGCCTGTAATCCCAGCACTTTGGGAGGTCGAGGTGGGCAGATCACTTGAGGTCAGGAGTTCAAGACCAGCCTGGCCAACATGGCAAAACCCTGTCTTTACTAAAAATAAAAAAAATTTGCTTGGTGTGGTGGTGGGCACCTGTAATCCCAGCTACTCAGGGAGGCTGAGGCAGAAGAATTGCTTGAACCAGGAAGGCAGAGGTTACAGTGAGCCGAGATAGTGCCATTGCAATCCAGCCTGGGTGACAGAGTGAGACTCCTCTCAAAAAAAAAAAAAAAGTTTTAATATGGAGACTACAACACAGACAGCTCCTTACGGCTGCACTATGGGTGGAAGTCTCAAGTGCCATAAGAGAGGCAGAAAGCAAGTTCCACCAGCGTTCAAAGGCAGAGTGTGTGAAGTCACATCTGGTTGGAAGACGGATCAGAAAGACTTCTTGGAGGTGGTAGTTTTAGGGAAAACAGAATTTATCAAGTAGGAGTGATAGAGAGTAGCTTCTCAAGAAATGACAACGGCTGGATCAAAAGCATGGTGTAAATATGGGGAATAGTTTAATGGGAATATGAGCTTTTCATGGAGAAAAGTGTGACATGAAACTATATGTTTTTTGAGACAAGGTCTTGTACTGTTGCCCAGGCTGGCGTGCAGTGGCACAATTATAGCTCACTGCAGCCTCAGATTCCTGGGCTTAAGTGATCCTCCTCCCTTTGTCTCCCAAAATGCTGGGATTATACCACACCTGGCCATTGTGGGAGGTCTTTTTTTTTTTTTTTTTTTTTTTTTTTTTTTTTGACATGGAGTCTTGCTCTGTTGCCAGGCTGGAGTGCAGTGGCATGATCTCGGCTCACTGCAACCTCTGTCTCCCGGGTTCAAGTGATTCTCCTCCCTCAGCCTCCCGAGGAGTTGGGACTACAGGTGCCTCCCACCACACCCGGCTAATTTTCCTGTTTTTATTTATTTATTTTTAAGATGGGGTTTCACCATGATGGCCAGGCTGGTCTTGAACTCCTGACCTTAGGTGATCCACTCACCTCGGCTTCCCAAAGTGCTAGGATTACAGGCATGAGCCACCGCGCCCGGCCCTAATTTTCCTATTTTTAGTAGAGACGAGGTTTCACCATATTGGTCAGGCTGGTCTCAAACTCTCGACCTTGTGATCTGCCCACCTCGGCCTCCCAAAGTGCTGGGATTACTGGTATGAACCACTGCGCCCAGCCTGTGGGAGGTCTTTTTTTTTTTTTTTTTTGAGACGGAGTTTCGCTCTTGTTACCCAGGCTGGAGTGCAATGGCGCGATCTCGGCTCAACGCAACCTCCGCCTCCTGGGCTCAGGCAATTCTCCTGCCTCAGCCTCCTAAGTAGCTGGGATTACAGGCACGCGCCACCACGCCCAGCTAGTTTTTTGTACTTTTAGTAGAGACGGGGTTTCACCATGTTGACCAGGATGGTCTCGATCTCTCGACCTCGTGATCCACCCGCCTCGGCCTCCCAAAGTGCTGGGATTACAGGCTTGAGCCACCGCGCCCGGCCCTGTGGGAGGTCTTAAATGACACAGTGAAACATTTTCATATTGTTTGGCAGGCAATGGGGAGCTACAGGAGGTGTTTTTTGTTTTTTTGTTTTTTTTCCCGAGTCGGAGTTTTGCTCTTGTTGCTCAGGCTGGAATGCAATGGCACGATCTCGGCTCACTGCAACCTCCACTTCCTGGATTCAAGGGATTCTCATGCCTCAGCCTCCCAAGTAGCTGGGATTACAGACACCTGCCACCACACCTGGCTCATTTTTGCATTTTTAGTAGAGACGGGGTTTCACCATTTTGGTCAGGCTGGTCTCGGAACTCCTGACCTTAGGTGATCCACCCGTGTCAGCCTCCCAAAGTGCTGGGATTACAGGTGTGAACCACCGCGCCCGTGCCTGGCCCAGCAGATATGACTGAAGCTGTGCTTAAGGAAAATAACTCTGGCTTCCCTGTAGGTGATGGATTGGAGAAGTGAGGTTGAGGACAATAGAGTCTAGGTAGGAGGTTATTGCCTAAGTCCAGGTAAGAAACTATGAGAGCTGAAGTAGAGCATTGGCAGTGGGACTGGAGAAGAATGGGTAGATGTGAGACACGTTTGGGTAGAGTAGGTATGACTGAAGGTTAATAAAAAATAGATGAATTAATTAAGGAAGAAATGAAGGACTGAAGGACTGAATGAATGCTACTTTCAATAATGTAGTTAACCTTAGTTGTGTACAGTTGGCTCTCCATATCTGCGGGGGAATGTTTTGGGACCCTCTATGGATACCAAAATCCACATGTGCTCAAGCCCCTTAGTCGGCGCCCCCATCCATGGATTGAACCAACTGTGGATCGAAAAGTTTGGCCCTATGTGTTAGATTCCGCAGCGCTGGGACTGTATTCCCATCTCAACTCCAATAGGCCCAGACAAAGGACACGCCAAGGAAGATTTTGTTTCTCCACTCTCATCACTAAGAAGATTTGTGCCTTGAAAGGGGGAAGTGCCCGGGAGTGGTGGCTCATGCCTGTAATCTCAGCACTCTGGGAGGCCAAAGCGGGTGGATTGCTTGAGCCCAGTAGTAGGCCAGCCTGGGCAACATGGCAAGACCTAGTCTCTAAAATAAATAAAATTTTAAAAAGAAAAGAAAAGGGGGAAGTTTCTCCAAGGGTGCAAACAAGGAATCACTCCTTTCTATAGGATGTGGATTATCCTATTGCCTGACTCACTCCTCTCTGAGCTTATTTTATATACCACCTAGTGGCTGCAATGAAGTGAGCTGGAATTTCACAAATGGCTGAAGCCAGCCTCATTACTTTCTAGTCACATATTTAGGTCTCCTGGGGTGAGCAGAACAAGTGTTCTGATTGCTTTCTAATTTATTTTCCAGTTAATTGAACCTGCCTCCTGTAAGGGGTCTGAAGCAAGGTCTTTGTGTATATGGGTGGTGTGTATGTACACTTAGACATCTAAGTGTGTGTTCTTGCTGGGTGCAGTGGCTCACAACTGTAATCCCAGCACTTTGGGAGGTCAAGGCAGGTGGATCACTTGAGCTGAGAAGTTCGAGACCAGCCTGGGCAACATGGCAAAACCCCATCTCTACCAAAAATACAAAAATTAACTGGGCATGGTGGCGCATGCCTGTAATCCCAGCTACTCAGGTGGCTGAGGCAGGAGAATTGCTTGTACCTGGGAGGCAGAGGTCTTAGTGAGCCAAGATTGTGTCACTGCACTCCAGCCTGCGTGAAGGAGTGAGACTCTGTCTCAATCAATCAATCAATCAGTCAATCAATCAATGTGTCCCTACATAGGGAAAATCGACGTGTCCCCACAGTCCAAGGCCCAACCTCAAGGGATGTTTGCATTCTTCACTTGCTTCATTTCAGCTTAAACTTTTCTCTGCTCCATCCATGGAGCTAACTGGGAGCTGACCCTAGTTTGATCCCAGTGAAAAATATTAGGAGTGGCCGGGCACAGTGGCTCATGACTGTAATCCCAGCACTTTGGGAGGCTGAGGCAGGTGGATCGCTTGAGGTCAGGAGTTTCAGATCAGCCTGACCCACATGGTGAAACCTTGTCTCTACTAAAAATCCAAAAAACAAAAAATTAGCCAGGTGTGGTGCTATATGTCTGTAATCCCAGCTACTTGGGAGGCTGAGGCAGGAGAATCTCTTGAGCCCGGGAGGTGGAGAGTGCAGTGAGCTGAGATCTGCCATTGTACTCTGGCCTGGGCAACAAGAGCAAAACTCCGTCTAAAAAAAAAAAAAAATCAGGAATGGACTCCAGAACAGAGTTATTAACCCCGACTATTATATGCCACATTTATCCTTTGTTTTTATTTATACATTTTTTTTAGGGATAGGATCTTGCTCTGTAACCCAGGCTGTAATGCAGTGGTATGATCACAGCTCACTGCAGCCTCAAACTCCTGGACTTGGGTGATCCTCCTGCCTCAGTCTCCCTAATAGCTGGGATAACAGGTGCATGCCACCATGCCAGGCTAATTAAAAAAAAAGTTTTTTTTTTTTTTTTGTAGAGATAGGGTCTTGCTATGTTATCCAGGCTGGTCTAGAACTCCTGGCCTCAAGCAATCCTCCTGTAATCCTTCCCACAGTGCTGGGATTACAGGCATGAGCCACCGCGCCCAGCCATGCTGCATTTATCTATAGGACTTTTACAGAAGGCTTTTCTTTTTCTGTGTGCTTTTTCTTTTTTCTATGAAACAGACGTGTATTTATAAAAAACGCTGGGCACACACCACAGTGTTTGTAGAGAGGAAAGACTTAATTCACAGCTTCCTCTACATCTACTATGTACATTGGAGTGCCACAAGTGCTGGCATACCCGTAGCACAAATCTCTTCTGGTACCTACTTCAAGCTGAAGGTCTCCAAAACCAAACCTCCGGTAAGTTCTTTTTTTCCTCTTCAGTGAGAATGGAGACTTCCCTTGTCAAGGTCATCAATAACCCCATCTTTGCAAAATGTAATAGTCGTACTTCTGACCTCATCTTACTTGGCTTATGCACAGCACTTGCCATAGCTGATCACTCCCCGCTCCATGAAACTTTCCATTTGGCTCCCAGAACAACATACTCTCCTGGTTTTCCTCCTGCCTCACTGACCATGCCTTCATAGTCAGTCTCTACTGGTAGTCTCCCTGCCTCATACCAACCTCTTCATGTTGGATTGTCTGGAAACTCAGGCCTTGGACCTCTCTATATTCCGTACTCTTCTCTATACTCAGTTCTATGGTCATCTCATCTAGTCTCATAGCTTTAAATGCCACCTAGAACCTATGTATCTCTAGCACAGACCCCTCCCACGTGGATGTTTAATAAATATCTCACTTATTGTATGTAAATCTGAACTTCTGATTTTCCCTTCTAAGCCTATCTACTTGCAGTCTTTGTCTTAGTTGATGGCCAGAATCCTTGGTGTCATCCTTCACTCTTCTCTCATATCCCTCATCTAATCCGTTAGGAAATCCTATTGGCTCTACTTTCACAAACATATCCAGAATCCAAGAATTCTTTTTCTTTTGAGACAGAGTTTTGCTCTTGTTGCCCAGGCTAGAGTGTAGTGGTACGATCTCAGTTCACTGCAACCTCCACCTCCTGGGTTCAAGTGATTCTCCTGTCTCAACCTCCCAAGTAGCTGGGATTACAGGTGTGTGCCACCATGCCCGGCTAACTTTTGTATTTTTAGTAGAGATGGAATTTTACCATGTTGGCCAGGCTGGTCTTGAACTCCTGATCTCAAGTGATCTCCCTGCCTTGGCCTCCCAAAATGCTGGGGTTATAGGTGTGAGCCATTGCACCTGGCCCCCTAACAATTTCTTACTACTCCACTTCTATAATCCTGGTCCAAGACACCATCCTCTCTCACCAAGATCATGTCAGTAGCCTGCTAATCAGTCTCTCTGCTTCCCACCCTTGCCCTCATCATGTTTCTTTTCAATGTTGCAGCCAGCCGAGTGAGCCTTGCAAAACAAATTTTTCTTTTGCTTATTTTATTTATTCATTTTTAAGATGAAGTCTCACTCTGTAGCCCAGGCTGGAGTGTAGTGGCGCAATCTTGGCTCGCTGCAACCTCCGCCCCTGGGGTTCAAGATTCTCCTGCCTCAGCCTCCTAAGTAGCTGGGATTACAGGTGCCTGCCACTGCACCCGGCTAATTTTTGTATTTTTAGTAGAGACGGGGTTTCACCATCTTGACGAGGCTGGTCTTGAACTCTTGACCTCATGATTTACCAGCCTCGGCCTCCTAAAGTGCTGGGATTACAGGTGTGAGCCACTGCGCCCGGCCCTTTTTTTTTTTTTTTTTTTTTTTTTTAAGAGATGATGTCTTGCTTTATTGCCCAGGCTGGTCTTGGAACTCCTGGCCTCAGGCTACCTTCCTGCCTCAACCTCCCAAAGTGCTGGAATTACAAGTGTGAACCACCACCCCCGCTGTAAAACAAATCTGTCATTTTTGTGTTTAAAATTTTCCAAAAGTGCTTCTCAAACTTTTTTTTTTTTTTTTTTTTTTTTTAAGACAGAGTTGCTCTGTCATCCAGGTTGGAATAGAGTGGTACAATCAGAGCTCACTGCAGCCTCGACATCCCAGGCTCAAGTGATCCTCCCGCATCAGCCTCCCTTGTAGCTGGGACTACAGGTGCATACCACCATGCTCAGCTAACTTTGTGCTGGGATTACAGGTGTGAACCACCACACCTGGCTGTAAAACAAATTTCTGTCTTTCATCTGTTTTATGTCTGTCTGTCTGTCTGTCTATCTATCTATCTATCACCTGTCTATCTATCTACTTATTGAGACAGAGTCTCACTTTGTCATCCAAAAGATAGGCTGCTCTATCCACAGATAGATAGGGCAGTCTATTTATCTATCAATCTATTGATCGATCAACCTACCTACCTACCTACTTATTGAGACAGAGTCTCACTTTGTCATCCTAGCTGCCCTCCTATCTCCATCTATCTATCTATCATCTATCTATCTATCTATCTATCTATCTACCTACCTACCTACCTACCTACCTACCTACCTACCTGCCTACCTACCTTCCTACCTACCTACTTATTGAGACAGGGTCTCACTTTGTCATCCCAGCTGGCAGGCATTGGCATGATCAGGGCTTACTCCAGCTTCTACTTCCTGGGCTCAAGCGATCCTCCGGCCTCAGACCCCCAAGTAGCTGGGACTACAGGGAAGCACCACCATGCCTGGCTTTTTTTTTTTTTTTTTTTTGAGTTTTCATAGAGACAAGGTCTTGTTATGTTGCACACACTCATCCTGAACTCCTGACCTCAGGTGATCCACCCGCCTCAGCTTCCCAAAGTGCTGGGATTACAGGCATGAGCCACCATGCCTGGCCAATTCCTCTGTTTAAAACTTTCCAAAAGTGCTTTTCGAAATTTAAAGTGCTGGTGAGCGTGGTGGCTCATGCCTGTAATCCCAGCACTTTGGGAGGCCGAGGCGGGTGGATCACCTGAGGTCAGGAGTTCGAGACCAGCCTGACCAATATGGTGAAACACCATCTCTACTAAAAATACAAAATTAGCCGGGCATGGTGGTGCATACCTGTAGTCCCAGCTACTTGGGAGGTTGAGGCAGGAGAATGGCTTGAACCCAGGAGACAGAGGTTGCAGTGAGCTGAGATCGCGCCATTGTACTCCAGCTTGGGCAACAGAATAAGACTGTCTCAAAAACAACAAAACAAAACAAAACAAAAACAGAAAAGAAAATTAAAGTGCACACAAATTACTTGGGGATCTTACTAAAATGAAGATTCTGATTTAGCAGGTCTGGGATAGGGCTTGAGATTCTGCATTATTAACAAGCTCACAGGCCATGCTGAGGCTGTGGGCCCAGAGACTACCTTTGAGTAGTAAGGGCCTACAAGGCGTTGTATGATCTGGTCCCTTGTTATTTATGCTTTCCCACTACTCCTTCCCTTCCATGTGCTCTGGCCATTCTCAGCTTGCTTGTCCTCAAATAAGTCAGGTATAGTCCTGCCTCAGGGCCTTTGCGCTTGCCGTTTCTTTTGACTGGAACACTTTCCCCTAGCCATGTGAACTGTCTGCTCCCTCATCACCTTTGCACTCACGTTCCTATGCTTTTTCTTCATAGCACTTACCACCTTCCCTTCTAATATTCTATATCATTTTGTTTTTTAGATGGAGTCTCGCCCTGTCTCCTAGGCTGGAGTGCAGTAGCACGATCTCAGCTCCCTCCAACCTCTGCCTCACGTGTTCAAGTGATTCTCCTGCCTCAGCCTCCTGGGTAGCTGGGACTACAAGGCACATGCCACCACAGCTGGCTAATTTTTGTATTTTTAGTAGACATGGGGTTTCACCATGTTGGCCAGGCTGGTCTCGAACTTCTGACCTCAGGTGATCTGCCCACCTCAGCCTCCCAAAGTGCTGGGATTGCAGGCGTGAGCCACCACTCTTGGTCCTATAATTGTTTTATTATTGTCTACTCCCTCCACCAGAATGTAGGCTCCACGAAGGCAGGGATTTTTGTCTTACTGTAAAACAAGGCCTGGCAAATAGAAGGCACTCAATACATACTTGAAGGAATGATTACTGGTATCCACTAGGTAGACCATGAATAAGAAATATGTTAACTTGATAGTTGTTGTGAAAAGAGTCAAAATAACATTCATGAATCTAGGGGAGGGGTCCTCAGAAGAGCAGGGCTGGCACCAAGCATAATGCCTGAAACACAACAGACATAAACATTTTATTTCCTCTTTGCCTTCCCATCCTTTCCTAAAAGTTATTTGTACCTTGGCCTGATGCTGAGGCTTTATGTATGACCACACAGTCAGTGAGCCATCGATTTCCTATATTCATCCTGTCCTAGTACAAATATGTCTATAACTCTCTGAAATCAAAAAATTTGGAACCTGCAGTATGTGGAGATTTTACTTCTCCTGGTCATATATCCTTCTACCAGCTGTCTTGCTAACTGGGCAGGTCAGAGATCAGGAAGTAAGTTTGGTAGAGGTGAACACGACTACACCAGAGACCACACAGAGAGAGGTCTTGGGAGATGGCTCCTGCTCAAAATGCCAAGTATAATTTTGGAGGCAAGGATGGGGATGGACTACTGAGACAATATTACAACCTACGTGTTTATGCCGCTTTAAAAATGTTTCAAACCTTTTCACCTATATTAATTCAGTCTCATGCTATTCCTAAGAGGTAGAGGTTGAGTAAACTGGAGCATGTAAAGAAGGTTAATGACTTACACTCCTATTAATGAGGAGCATAAGCCTGTCCCAACTTATTTCCAATTTTGTGAAGATTCTTAAGATATTTGTTGTCAAAAAGATCTTTGGGGAACAGAGGTTTAAAGTGACGAAAAAACTATCACCCTCCAGGTGAAGGTCACCCGAAGAAATTTAAAACAAAAAACAAAAAACTATCACCTACAGATTCCCAGTTCATAAGCAAGATGAATTCTAGAAATTCAAGAATATGCATATAGGCAAGTATAGGGAAGATTGGGCTGGGCATGGTAGCTCATGCCTGTAATCCCAGCACTTTGGGAGGCCAAGGCAGGTGGATCACTTGAGGTCAGGAGTTTGAGACCAGCCTGGGCAACAAGGTAAAACACTATTTCTACTAAAAACACAAAAATTAGCTGGGTTTGGTGGTGGGTGTCTGTGATCCTAGCCACCTGGGAGGCTGAGGCAGGAGAATCACCTGAACCCAGGAGGTGGAGGTTGCAGTGAGCCGGAATGACGCCACTGCACTTCAGCCTGGGAGACAGAGCAAGACTCCATCTCAAAAAAACAAAAAGAGTTATGACAGGTCTGGGCTAACAATTGTCCTTCTTTCTTAGGATGCACCCATTGGTGTTTTTTTTGTAGGTGAAGAGCAAGAATTAGTTCACAGGTAATGAACATTTGGAGGTTTGTTTTAAAAGGGTGGGAGAGAGGTCATCGCACACCAGGAATCCAGCAGTTGCACAGCCACAGATAGTTCATATAATGGTCACTTTTCTTCTTTGGACCACCAACCCCAGACACTAAGAAAAACAATTTTCTGGAACAATTTCAGCCCATTCTAATGAAATTGTTTTTCTTAGTGTCTGGTTTTTCAGTCATTATAAGCTTGAAGATTAGTTGCTGGAGTAGGGTAGGGACAAAGTGGGTCATGTCTTTTGTTTCTATGGAAAATTTCAATATCACATAAAATTAGCTTATGTTTAATAATCCCTTTTATAGCAGCTCTCTTAAAGTATCTTTACATATAAGCTCATTAATTTTCATTGATTGGGTTTAAGAAACAGTAAAGGATAGATAGAGAGAACCCCAGCTACCTCCCCTCCCCCACCAATAAAAGAGGCTTCTTGCTTACTAGAAGTATAAAAGAGTAAATAGGAATCCCCTTTGTTTGATTTGAAAAGCTTTTGATTTAAAAATACTTTAAAAGTGTTTGTTTTTCTTCCTCTGTAGACCAGGAATGGTTTGCTTTCGAGAACACTGGCAGAAGAACCTTACTGATGCCAAATATGATTTCATGGCGGCATTCCCCTCCATATTTGATCGTGTCTGATTCTTACAGGATGTCTTAGGATTGTTTTTCTAATCAGGTTACATTAAGAAGACAATGCAGCACATCAAACCACATAATATTTATTAATAAACTTGTGGCACACAATTCAGCTGTATTTTTTTTGCATTCATTTTCCATTCTGCAACCTCCATCACATTAGCAGAGTAACCAATAAGCTGTTTTCTAAAATGCTTTTTTCCATCACTGTATGCATCACTTCTGAGTCTTACAGGTTTAGAGAGTTGCGTTTAGAGAGTTGCTAAAATTCACCTATCAGACCAAACTAAGACTGGTACTTGGCTGTTTGTTCCCCATCTGAGCCTAAGTCTCCAGCTCAGACACATCTTTTATGGGCACAACTGGGAACAACGAATGGCAACAGTTCTACAGCTCATAATATAACCAGACTGAAGGGTTCCCCTACTCACAGACCCCTTCGTTTACTGTGAGTTAAGCCTCACTGCTAAATAATGTATTTTTAAACTGGAAAACCAGGCATGCTGCCTTCCATAATAACACCACTATACTCATGATGGCAGGAGGGTGGCTTGAGGACTAGGGACAATGACATGGGATGGATTCAATCATCGCCCTTACTTATCTCTGATCGTCTTCCCATCCTCACACCAAATGGTCACTTGTTCCTACCTTCCCTGTAAATCTCTCTTGCCTGGCTGCAAAATTTTAAGACACCAAAGACAAAATTACATTATGCTCTGAGTGATGACTTACAAGTACATCAGAATATTTATTTACATAGAAAAGCACTGGAAAGGAGGAACACAAAATATGAAAGACAACTGACACAGTACTGAAATTTTTCTTTTTTTTTACTGCTATATTTGTACAATAAATTAAAAAGGAGGGAAAACCTTATCAGAGAAATGGGCAAGGAGGTGGCAAACTAGGTAAGTCTCCTTGGAGAACAAAAAATATATTTAAAATACAATAGCCCTACAACTGACTTATGGCTCAGGTGACTAAACACGATTTGAAGCAGTAACAACACTCATGAGCTGAAAATAAAATACATTTAGCCCTTTTATTCTTCCTGCCTCTTTCCCAAAGAGTATGCCATTGAAGCTGTTCTTGATACCACAATATTAAAACATCACAAAATTTCTTTTTTTTTTTTTTCTTTTTGAGACGGAGTTTCGCTCTGTTACCCAGGCTGGAGTGCAATGGCACGGTCTCGGCTCACCGCAACCTCCGCCTCCTCGGTTCAGGCAATTCTCCTGCCTCAGCCTCCTGCTCCTGAGTAGCTGGGATTACAGGCACGCGCCACCATGTCCAGCTAATTTTTTGTATTTTTAGTAGAGACGGGGTTTCACCATGTTGACCAGGATGGTCTTGATCTCTTGACCTCGTGATCCACCCGCCTCTGCCTCCCAAAGTGCTGGGATTACAGGCGTGAGCCACTGCGCCTGGCCAAAAATTTCTGCATTTAAACTACCTTGCCTACTGAAAATGAGAGAACATAATCATTCCATCTCTAGGAACGTAACCAAGAAAAAAAAAAGAGAATAAATTTTTTTTTTTTTTTTGAGACAGAGTCTCGCACTGTCGCCTGGAATTGGACTGCAGTGGCATGATTTTAGCTCACTGCAACCTTGGCCTCCTGCCTCAGCCTCCTGAGTAGCTGGGATTATTCAAGCAATTCTCCTGCCTCAGCCTCCCGAGTAGCTGGGATTATAGGCGCCTGCCACCATGCGCAGCTAATTTTTTTTTTTTTTTTTTAAAAGATGGGGTTTCACCATGATGGCCAGGCTGGTCTTGAACTCCTGACCTCAGGTGATCCACCCACCTCGGCCTCTCAAAGTACTAGGATTACAAGCGTGAGCCACCATGTCCAGCCAATTTTTTGTATTTTTAGTAGAAATGGGGTTTCACTATGTTCGCCAGGCTGGTCTCAAACACCTGACCTTGTAATCCACCCACCTCAGCCTCCCAAAGTGCTGGGATTACAGGTGTGAGCCACCATGCCCAGCCAAGAATAAAATTTGTAAGTGGGTATTATCAAATTCAGGTTTTATTATACAGGGAAGTAGATGGATTGAGACTCAAAACTCTGGGAACTAGTTTCTTTTTTAACTTTTGGAAATTATAGATTTATTAGGCTAGGCAGCAACTATGATTAGGTATAAATAAACAGAAATCATTTTAAATTCAGGGGTCAAAAATGTTGCTACATGCTGACTCTTTAGTTCAGTAGTTGTAGGTTAAAAGTAGACATTTCCTGGAACATACATTTAATAGTATTTAAGACTGTTAATACCATTTAATAATAAAACTTTTGGCTGAGTGTGGTGACTCATGCCTATAATCCCAGCACTTTGGGAGGCTGAGGCAGGTGGAATGCTTGAGCTCAAGAGTTCAAGACCAGCCTGGGCAACAAGGTGAAACCCCGTCTCTACTAAAAATAAAAAAATTAGCCAGGCATGGTGGTGTGTGCTGGTAGTCCCAGCTGCTCGGGAGGCTGAGGTGGAGGATCACTTGAGCCGGGGAGACAGAGGCTGCAATGAGCCAAGATAGCACCACTGCACTCTAGCCTGGGTGACAAATGGAAACCCTGTCTCAAAAATAATAATAATACAACTTTTACTCTATACTTTGAAATATGACTGCCTTATTTAAACACTTTTGAAAAACAACCACTTAAAAATATAAGGCAAGAGGGCATTTTATAATAGTATAATCAGAATTTCCTTATCACCCAGGTAATTTAAATTTACCATGGGCATGTAATAATAATGCAGATCAAACAACCTTAACAAAAATGGCCAGTCATGGCAGCTCACACCTGTAATCCCAGCATTTTGGGAGGCTGAGGTAGGCAGATCACTTGAAGTCAGGAGTTTGAGACCAGCCTGGCCAAGATGGCAAAACCCCATCTTTTTGGGGCAAAACCCCATCTTTTGCCAAGATGGCAAAAGGCTGGTCTTAAACTCCTGACCTCCACTGAAAATACAAAAATCAGCCAGGTGTGGTGGCGAGTGCCTGTAATCCCAGCTACTCGGGAGGCTGAGGTGGGAGGATCACTTGAACCCAGGAGACGGGGGTTGCAGAGAGCTGAGATTGCACCACTGCACTCTAGCCTGAGCGACAGAGTGAGACTCTTGTCTCAAAAAACAAAAAAACAGAAAACCAACCTTAACAAAGACAGCCAAAACTTCCAGGGTTCCCTCCCCCATTCACTCTTCTGATCTAATTAAAACTGAACAAAATAAATGAAGGAAAAAGATCATGAAATCATAGTCCCAACTTTCCATTTCTTCCCAACTTAAAAACTAATAAAGTAAGGAGGTTCTATACATTAAGGATTAAACTGATGACAGATGCAAAAAAAAAAAAAAAAAAAAACAGAAAGGTTTAACAATGTTTAAAATGGAATCTGCTTAGTACATAAAACACAGTTAAAAATATTTAATATCGTTTTAATTTCATCTTTAGAAAACAGTTAAGCTAAAATACTGACTCATTATATTTTTCCTTATCAGAACTCTTGACCATAGTTGACTCATATTCTTTTTGATGTTATCCTATCCCTGAAGAACCTCAAACTCAGATCAGCTCAGGTTAAAACAAAGTACTTAAATGGGCATAAGAGTAGACTTCTCAAGACGTTATATTTGAAAGAACCATTTTTAAGAAACTTATTAAGAATTTAAAAAAGATAATGTTCACATTTCAATTCAACAAGTGTGTGAGTTAGTTTGCTTTTTGGTGTGTTTGTTGGTTTTAGAGTGGAGGTAGGGACTTAAAATCATTTTCAGGGCAGATCACATATTGTAGTGTACAAGTCAGTTTTCAAATTCCAGATTTGCTTTTCGCAGAAATGCCTTCATTTTGTTAACAAAAGTGGACTCCTATACGTTTCTATGAAGTCCATTTATAACACATTCAACACAGAGGAGGGATAATTTCCCAAAAGTTCAGTTGGGGTAGAGGTGGGGGTGGGGCAGGCATCACATATAACTAATAGTAGCAGTGTCTCATGGTCTGAGACTGAAGTTTCTCATCTCACTAACACTTTTTGCCCATGCCACCTCCTCAAATACAGAATTTTACTCATAATTTGGATTTTTTTTTTTTTTTAGATGGAGTTTCACTCTTGTCACCCTGGCACGATCTCGGCTCACTGCAACCTCCATCTCCAGGATTCAAGCCATTCTCCTACCTTAGCCTCCCAAGTAGCTGGGATTACAGATGTCCACCACCATGCCTGGCTAATTTTTGTATTTTTTTGGTAGAGATAGGGTTTCACCATGTTGGTCAGGCTGGTCTTAAACTCCTGACCTCAAGTGATCCACCCACCTCAGCCTCTCAAAGTGCTGGGATTAACAGGCGTGAGCCACTGCAACCAGTTCATAATTTGGATTTTTAAACCAGTAAGTTATTATGGTCAATCCAAAATAACCCAAAGAACTTGTTAAAGTTCTATCAATAAGTAGCTTTTTACTGAAGGACTGAAAGAATTAAATAGAAGGCACAGTAGCAATGTAAAGCTTTCTCAGAGCATGACGATCTTTTTGTATGCATGTGTGGAACCCAGACTTTCGTTTTTGTTGTTAAAAATGTCTCTGGACAATCAGAAAATCCTTATTTGTCATCTTTCCCTTTGGTCTTTCTGTAAACCATTTCTCGAAAACTGGCCAGAATCTTGTTCTCTCTCTTTCGTCTCTCTTCTTGGTTAAAGGATGCAAGGGCTCTCTTCTCATCAGCACTATAAATCTGGTTTTCTTTTCGTAGTCGCACAGCCTCCATTCGGCGATGCCTGGAGAGAATTTTATTTTTGGCTTCATTTCTCAGTAATTATTTTTATAGTATATCCTCATTAATCCTTTCTTAATACAGAGTGGCCTATTTAAGAGCTGACAAATAAAAACTATTTTTTGAAACAGGTTAAGTTTCCAAAAGATCACTTATTAATAGTTTAGCTGCCTGACACGTCCCCCTTTTTTTTTTTTTTTGGGAGACGGAGTCTTCCTCTGTCTCCCAGGCTGGAGTGGGGTGGCATGATCTCGGCTTACTGCAACCTTCACTTCCCGAGCTCAAGTGATTCCCCCACCTCAGCCTCCTTCCTGAGTAGCTAGGATTATAGGTGGCTACCAGCAGACCCAGCTAATTTTTATATTTTTAGTAGAGATGAAACTGATAGTAGGATAGATAAAAGATTTATGTTGTTATTAATCAGGTGGAACTTCCTTCAAGGTTCTAATTTACCATACAACCAAAAGAATCAAGTCTAGGCTGGGCATGGTGGCTCACACCGGTAATCCCGGCACTTTGGGAGGCTGAGGTGGGCAGATCGCCTGATGTCAGGAGTTCGAGACTAGCCTGGCCAACACGGTGAAAACCCGTCTCTACGAAAAATACAAAAATTAGCTGGGCTTGGTGGCAGGCGCCTGTAATCCCAGCTACTCAGGAGGCTGAGGCAGGAGAATCACTTGAATCCAGGAGGCAAAAGTTGCAGTGAGCAGAGATGGTGCCACTGTACTGCAGCCTGGGAGACAAGAGTGAAACTCCATCTCAAAAAAAAAAAAAAGAACGAAGTCTAAATCTATAAATGAAGAGCAGTTTTTGGTCAGTGGATTAACTTCCAAGTCTCCCTCTGTCACCCAGGCTGGAGTATGCAGTGGTGCAATCTTGATTTATTGCAACCTCCACCTCCTCCCAGGTTCAACTGATTCTCCTGTCTCAGCCTCCTGAGTAGCTGGGATTACAGGTCTCACCGCCACACCCAGCTCCTTTTTATATTTTTAGTAGAGATGGGGTTTTGCCATGTTGGCCAGGCTAGTCTTGAACTCCTGGCCTCAAATGAATCACCTGCCTTGGCCTCCCAAAGTGCTCGGAGTACAGGCCTGAGCCACCGCGCCCAACTGCTGCATTGATTTAAAAAAAAATTTTTTTTTTTATTGTTGGCTCTGAGTACGGATGCTGCGTTGCTTTTGATATTTGGTGATATAGGGTCCTACTTTCATCTTTTTCCATATGAATAACCATTTCTTTCCTATTTCACTTAATGAATGGTTCTTTCTTTCCCCATTGATCCGACATGCTCTTTCATACACTGAAGTTCCATACATGTATGGCTGTCTTTGGGCTCTAAATTTTATTTTTATTTGTATACTTTTTGAGACAGAGTTGCATTCTTGTTACCCAGGCTAGAGTGCAATGACGAGGTCTCGGCTCATTGCAATCTCCATCTGCTGGGTTCAAGGGATTCTCCTGCCTTAGCCTCCCAAGTAGCTGGGATTATAGGTGCCCACCACCATGCCTGGATAATTTTTGTATTTTTAGTAAGGATGGGGTTTCATCATGTTGGCCAGGCTGGTCTTGAACTCTTTACCTCAGATGATCCGCCCGCCTCGGCTGCCCAAAGTGTTGGGATTACAGGTGCAAGCCACTATGCCTGGCCTGACTTTTATTCCATTGAACTATTCAGTTGTTATCCCATGCTTTCTAAAGCGCTGTAAGCTTCAAAATAGGTCCTCCTATCTCGTAGGGCAAATCTTACCTTCCTGCTTTTCTTCTGCAGGAGTGACTTGACTATTCTTGTCCTTTCAGTCTAACATAATAAATTTTAGAACTGGCTTATTAAGTTTAATGAAGAACTGTGCTGTGACTTTGATTGGAACTGTACTGAATATACAGATCAGTTTGGGAAGAACTGACAGCTTTACAATACTGCCTTCCTATCCATGAACCTGGTTATCGCTCCAGTTATTTAAGTTTTCTTTAATCTTACCTTCTTGCTCTTCTTCTTCAGAAGGGACCTAGCTCTTCTTGTCCTTTTAGTCTAACATACAAATTTTAGAACCAGCTTAGTAAGTTTCATGAAAAACTGTGTTATGATTTTGATTGGAACTGCACTGAATATACAGACCACTAATGTTTTACATTTTCCCCCATAGAACCTTGGGCATCTCTTGTTAAGATTTATTCTTAAGTCCTTCATATTCTGACACTGCTATAAATGTTTTCTTCTTATTTAGTGGCACTTTCTAGTTTTCTGCTGTTGTTAAATAGAAATGCATTTCATTTTTAATGGAACTGTATTGAATATACAATCTCTTAATAATGTTTTATAGTTTTCCCTACAGAGCCATGGGCATCTTTTGTTAAGATTTATTCTTAAGTCCTTCATATTCTCTGACACTGTTATAAATGTTGTTTTCTTCTTCTTTAGTTACATTTCCTAGTTGTCTGTTGCTGGTAAGTAGAAATGCAATGGATTTTTGTGTATTAACCTTATATCCAAGCATTTGTTAAACCCTCCTCATTTATAATTCATCTGAAGATTCTTTGGGATTTTCTTTTTTTTTTTTTTTTTTTTTTGAGACGGAGTTTTACTCTTGTTACCCAGGCTGGAGTGCAATGGCGCGATCTCGGCTCACCGCAACCTCCGCCTCCTGGGTTCAGGCAATTCTCCTGCCTCAGCCTCCTGAGTAGCTGGGATTACAGGCACGCGCCACCATGCCCAGGTAATTTTTTTTTTTTTGTATTTTTTTTTTAGTAGAGACGGGGTTTCACCATGTTGACCAGGATGGTCTCGATCTCTTGACCTCGTGATCCACCCGCCTCGGCCTCCCAAAGTGCTGGGATTACAGGCTTGAGCCACCGCGCCCGGCCTCTTTGGGATTTTCTATGTAAACAATCAAATCATTCACAAAAATGACACTGTTATATCATCCTTTCCAATCCTTATTATTATTATTTTCAGACTGAGTCTTGCTCTGTCACCCAGGCTGGAATGCAGAGTTGCAATCTCGGCTCATTACAATCTCTGCTTCCTGGGTTAAGCAATTCTTCTGCCTCAGCCTCCCAAGTATCTGGGATTATAGGCACGTACCACCACAACTGGCTAATATTTGTGTTTTTGGTACAGATAGGGATTCGCCATGTTGCCCAGGCTAGTCCAACTCCTGGGCTCAAGCGATCCACCTGCCTTGGCCTCCCAAAGTGCTGGGATTACAGGCATGAGACACCAAGCCCAGCCTTCCTTTCCAACCCTTATACCTCTAATTCTTTTTCTTGCCTTACTGTGTGGGTCCTCCAATGCAATGCGTCAAATATTGGTCCTCAGAATTCCAAGATTCTGGAGTTGCTTTAGGATTTCTGCAAATATTTGCCTTCAATGTCATTTAAAAATAGTTACCTAATTTAAAAAGTTTATCAAGTTTTAAAGAATCCAAAATTCAATTTGATCTAAGTACTGCCACCCTATTAGCTCATTCTCCTGGTTCTTCCTGGTACTTTTTGCTTTTCTAATTTTATATTCTTTTTCTCATGCTGAATCCAATGTCTTTTAAAGATTTATTTATTTATTTATTAGCCAGAACATGTTCTCAGCTGACCAATGTTTTTTATCATCTTTGTCTGTTATTATGTCTCAGAAATCTGGGTCCATAAATAACTGGAGACAAACTTGTAACTAGGAAACACTGTCTAGGAAATACTGTCTAGTGAAAATATTTTTCTAATTGCCACATTCCTCATGGGGCAGTGATAAATAGCTGAATTTAAGTACATCCTCCAGTGGATAAAATATTTGTACCTAAATACCAACTAGGAAAGGACACTGGTTCTTTTTTTTTTCTTTTTTCTTTTTTTTTAATTAAAGACGGAGTTTCACTATATTGGTCAGGCTGGTCTTGAACTCCCAACCTCAAGTGATCCGCCCACCTTAGCCTCCAAAGTGCTTGGATTACAGGCATGAGCCACCACGCCCGGCCAAGATTGATTCTTTGAAGTCAGAGCTATAGCTGAGTTTGAGGCTGAGTTGCATATATACTTGGAATTTCAGAAAACCATGTTATACCAACAAAACTAATATCAAACCAATATTTATACTCTACTTTTCATAAGAAACAGTCACTTAATAAAAATCAATTACCAAAATATAATTCTGGTAGTAAAAAAGAAGAAAAAGATCTAATCATGGAAACTGGGCTTAATGCCAAGAACATACCTGCTACCGCTCATTACATAACCTGAGCATTCAAATGATGCAATTTCTTCACTTGTCAAGCCAATTTCACCTCTTCGTGGGATACGTTTTCCAGCTTTTACATATTCAGCCATAGCTGCACCTTCACCAGGTAACAGGGCATGGCCATAGCTACAAAGTAATTCAGAATTCAGGAAAGGTCCATTAAATCATTTTAATATTAAAAGCTCATAATTTAAAGAGAACACAAACCCCACATTTTCTCTCAGACAAGAGTAGGAATAACAGTGCTCAGCAGTAGAGTGCTAGGAAGCTCAGTGTGAATTACTTTGTCCTAATTAGAGTATTAAACATTGCAGTGCACTATGACCTATACAACTAATCCAGAAATGCAGAGATATTTTGAAAGAAAAGAACTGATGTGAGTATAGATTCATGGTTTACAATTATGGACTAATTTATCCCTACAGGCATTGCCATTACTGGTTCCGCCTCCAGCTGATTCCCTTTCCCTTTTTCCCTTAAAAAAATCCAAAGTATACCAGGCACAGTGGCTCACGCCTGTAATCCCAGCACTTTGGGAGGCGGAGGCAGGCGGATGATTTGAGGTCAGGAGTTTGAGACCAGCATGGCCAACATGGTGAAACCCCATCTCTACGAAAAATACAAAATTAGTCGGGCATGGCAGCGGATGCCTGTAATCCCAGCTACTCAGAAGGCTGAGGCAGCAGAATCACTTTAATATGGGAGGCAGAGGTTGCAGTGAGCCAAGTTTGTGCCACTGCACTCCAGCCTGGGCTACAGAGCAAGACTTTGTCTCAAAAAAAAAAAAAAGAAAGAAAAAAGAAAAAAAGAAAATCCAAAATAGGCCAGGCGTCATGGCTGATGCCTGTAATCCCAGAACTTTGGGATTACTTCTAACTTATCCTGGGAAACATAGTGAGGCAGGTGCATCACTTGAGGTCAGGAGTTTGAGACCAGTCTGGTCAACATGGCGAAACCCTATCTCTACTAAAAATACAAAAATTAGCCAGGTGTGGTGGTGGGCATCTGTAATCCTGGCTACTCGGGAGGCTGAGGCAGGAGAATCACTTGAACCTGGGAGGTGAAGGCTGCAGTGAGCCAAGGTCATGCCACTGCACTCCAGCCTGGGAGACAGACTGAAACTTGATCATGCTGCTGTCTTTCAGCCTGGGAGATAGAGCAAGACTCCATCTCAAAAAAAAAAAAAAAAAAAAAAAAAAAATTATAGGCAGGGCATGGTGGCTCACGCCTGTAATCCCAGCACTTTGGGAGGCAGAGGCAGGCAGACTACAAGGTCAGGAGTTTGAGACCAGCCTGACCAATTTGTGAAACCCTGTCTCTATTGAAAATACAAAAAAATTAGTCGGTGTGGTGGCACGTGCCTGTCATCCCAGCTACTCAGGAGGCTGAGGCAGGAGAATTGCTTGAACCCGGGAGGCGGAGGTTGCAGTGAGCCAAGATTGCGCCACTGCACTCCAGCCTGGGTGTCAGAGTGAGACTCCATCTAAAAAAAAAAAAAAAAAAAAAAAAAAAAAAAAAATTCTGCTGATAAAAAAATAAGAGAAAAAAGGAGTAAAAAGTTCTGTGAAGATTAATGAGAAATAGAAATCACACCTACTTGTGGAGGGGAAGTATTGGGAATCAGCATATGCATCTCCTTTTGAAAAGGGCTTTGAAAGATAGCAAGGATTTTAACAGGAAGAAACTGGGGATAGGGAAGAAAATAGAGGGCAGGGAAAAGAAGGGAAGGTATACTGGAGGAAGAAGCAAGCTGAACATGGCATAGAAGTTGGAAAGTGCACAGTAAGCACAGGGAGTATATAGTAGTCCAGCTCAGCTGGAACCTGCAGTAGAAATAAGGGAATAGAGTGAGATAAGCTTGGCAAGATAAGTTAGAACCAGACTTTTTGGAAGGTACTTTAGATATTATAAATACACTGTTACTTACTTCAAAGGTTTATCATCTTGAGAGGTGAGTGTTTTTGGAGCCTCTGGGCCAATTAAATCTGAAGGTTCTTCAGTCTCTGCATGAAAGATATTAAGAAACACATTCACATTTTGACTAATTGGTTAGTTTAAGGTTTCATCTGTTTTGAATTAAAGTCTACCAGAAGAACCTACTTGTTCGATCCTTCCAGGGATTCTCCAGAAACTCTTCTTGGGATTCTTTAGAGCTTGAATCACTGGACTCTTTTCTGCTCTTCTTAGACTTCTTTTTCTTATATTTCTTCCTATAGGGATTATAATTTGATACAAATTCACTTTTATCCTCCTATGTTAGAGGGCATCTTAATTTTTCTCATTTTTCTTTTTAAATTTTGAATTGGTGACTATACATCTTAATTTTTCAAGGCAAAGAAAGGTGATAATAAAATGATCTGAATTCCCAGCTTATTCAAACTTGCTAGATAATTTTACTTAAAAAAATCTTCTAACTTATCCTGGGAAACATAGTAAGACCCTGTCTCTACAAAAATAAAAAAAAAAATAGCTGGATGTGGTAGCACACACCTGTAGTCCAATCTACTCAGGAGGCTGAGGTGGGAGAATCACTTGAGCCCAGGAGTTTGAGACTGCAATAAGCTATGATTGGCCCACTGCACTCCAGCCTGGGCAACAGAGTGAGACACTGTCTCTACACAATTTTGTTTCTAAAATTCTAACTTATTTCACTAACCTAGGCAACAGAGTGAGACATTGTCTCTACACAATTTGTTTCTAAAATTCTAACTTATTTAACTAAATCATTTTTTGCTATAAAAATTATTACTAGGCTGTGCGCAGTGGCTCACACCTGTAATCCCAGCACTTTGGGAGGCTGAGGTAGGTAGATCACAAGGTCAAGAGATCTAGACCATCCTGGCCAACATGGTAAAACCCCATCTCTACTAAAAATACAAAAATTAGCTGGGCATGGTGGTGGGCACCTGTAGTCCCTGCTACTCAGGAGGCTGAGTCAGAAGAATCACTTGAACCTGGGAGGCGGAGGTTGCAGTGAGCCAAGATTGCACCACTGCATTCCAGCCTGGCGACAGAGCGAGACTCCATCTTAAAAAGGGCAACAAAAAAAATTATCACTAAAGGAGACTGGGTAAGGTGTTTCACCCCTGTAATCCCAGCACTTTGGGTGGCTGAGGCGAGTGGGTCACTTGAGCCCAGGAATTGGAAACTAGCCTGAGCAACATGACGAAATCCTGTCTCTACAAAAAATACAAAAATCAGCCAGGTGTGGTGGCACACGCCGATAGTCCCAGGTATGGGGGAAGTGGGAGCAGAGGTGGGAGGATGGCTTGATCCTGCAAGGTCCAAGTTGTAGTGAGCTGTGATCCTGCCACTGCACTCCAGCCTAGGTGGCAGGGTGAGACAATGTCTCAAAAAAAAAAAGAAAAAAAATCACTAAAGGGAACAAGGAAATACAGTTCTCATGTTGTAGAAAGCAGAAATAAAACAGCCTAAAAAGTCTCAACAATTTGAGCATTACAAATAATTTTATGTGTAAAGAATTAAAATATGTCAAATATGTTTAAATCCGTGGGTTCATAATGATACTTTAAACAAATCCAATTCATTATGTGAAAAGTCACAAAACAAAATTATCCTGCTCTTACTATATAAACCATATTTCAGGGTATTTAAGTAGTTGATGAGGGTAAGTTTCTCTTCCAGAATTATTCTGCCTAATAAATGAAGGATAAAGCCAGGATTAGACTATCACCATTTTACAACCCCTAATGAAATAATGGATCGAGATAATGACCATCAATGGCTGTTAATAAGACAAAAAGGGATAACCAGACATTATATGCCTCCTGATAGTACCACCTTCCTTCACAGCACCACTTATGGAAACTCAAATCTGAACCTTGTCAGGCCTCTAGACCTAGCAATCTACTGGAAATACAGAGGACAGAGAACATGCCAAACGATACCATAAGAATACAATCACTGCAAGTTATGGACATCACTTGGATCCTGATTGGAATAAACTATAGAAAAAACTGCTGAGAATTGAGGAATTATTATTAAATGTTTTAGGCATGATAACAGCATTGTGCTATTTTTTTTTTTTTTTTAAATATAGAGACAGGGTCTTGCTATGTTGCCCAGGCTGGTATTGAACTCCTGGGCTCAAGTGATCCTCCTGCCTGGCCTCCTAAAATGCTGGGATTACAGATATGCACCACTGTGCCTGGCCAGTTTTTTGTTTTGTTTTAAAGAATATCTATCTTTTAGAGAAAGGTACTGAACTGCTTATGGATGGAATGATATCTGAGATTGATTCAAAAATAAATGATGGATGGTAGATACTGCCCATCAGCTGATATTTAGATAGCATGATGGGTACAGGAGGGCTCATTATACTATTTTATGTAATTTGATATACATTTGAAATTTTCTGGCTGGGTGCAGTGGCTCATGCCGGTAATCCCAGCACTTCGGGACTCCAAGGGGGGAGGATCCCTTGAGGTCAAGAGTTCCAAACCAGCCTGGTCAACGTGGTGAAACCCCATCTCTACTAAAGTAAACACAAAAATTAGCCAGGCGTGGTGGTGGGTGCCTGTAATCCCAGCGACTTGGGAGGCTGAGACATGAGAATTGCTTGAACCAGGGAGGCAGAGGTTGCTGTGAGCCAAGATCACACCACTGCACGCCAGTCTGAGCGACAGAGTAAGACTCTGTCTCAAAAGAAAAAAAAAGAAATTTTCCATAATAAAACTTAAAAAACTGACGATCTGTGTTTCCTCTTCTTTTCCTTTTTCTTGGCTTTCTTTGCTCTCCTTTTGTTGTCTTCATCTGCAAATTAAAGCACAGTACAATAAAGAAAAAAAAAATTTTAACTCTAAAACCGTAGTACTTTTGAGTAGGTAACTATCCTATTGCTGTCCCATTTATTATTACAAAATTACCTCATTGAAACGTTTATTGCTATTTGTCAGGAACTGTAAGAGGTACTATGAACATAGAAATTAAAGTCACTAGGTATTTGGTGATATAGGGTATTATTATTAATTTTATTGTGTGAGATAGTGTTGTGGTTAAGTAGGAAAATGCCTATTTTTAAGGGATGCATACAGAAATATTTAGGGTGGAAGTGTGATATTTGTAATTGAGTTTGAATATCTCAGCAAAAAGCCCATATTCTGAAGTAAATATGTAAAAATACTAGCAACTGCCAAATCTAGGTGTTAAGTATATGGTATTAATTATACTATTCTCTTCACTTTTCTCAATATTTAAATATGTTCATGATAAAAAAGGAAAGAAAACTATGTGTGTGTTGGAGGTGGGAGATAGACTGCTTTCCAGGAGCTCAGTCTAATGGAGGAGACAGATAGGTAAAGAGATCAATACAGACTGAAGTGATAGAGGGAAGCTTGGGGAGCCCAGACACACAGAGGAGTCTTAAAATCAGACTGATTTGGGGAGGGAGGTTGAGGAATGGTTGACCAGGAAAGGTGACTCTTAAAGTAGTTCTTTGATTACAAAAGTACTACTGCATGCCCATTGGTGAAATGAGTAAATGAAGCTGGATGGAGGAAGGGACTGGCATTGTAGGCAGAGGGCCTCTCTACCAAGTAACAATTAAGAGAAAAAACAGGGACTACTAAGGGGACAGAAAGTAGTTTTAAGATTACACAGGATGGTGCAAGAGTGTAACAGGGTATATGTGATTAGAGAGAGAGGTGAGTCAGGGTCTGAACTTTTATCCTGAAGGCTATGGATTGCTATTGAAGGATTTTAAGTAGGTATTTGGTGACATAGGGTACTATTACTAATTTCATTGTGTGAGGCAGTGCTGTAGTTAAGTATAAAAATGTCTCTTTTTAAGGGATGCATACAGAAATATTTGGAAGTTCTGTCTTCCAGAACTGAGGAAGAGAAGTGATAGGGAGGGCCAGGAAACTCGGTTGATATCAGAGGAAGGTGAACCTTTGTGTAATGCTAACCCCTGAGGAGGCACCTTCTGGTCAATCATCGGCCAGGAGAGTACAAAAAGGAGACTATTGGTGATGCACTATCCCAGATAGGGTGCCTTCCACAAATCAGCAGCCAGCATGAAGGGGGCACTTTATGGCATATCTTTTTGAAAAGTATACAGAGGTGCTCATTGGGCATGAGAATTACATAAAAGAGCCCTTCCACTGATGCAGCCCTGTAAGGCTTACTTTGGTATAGTCCAACCCCCTGACTTGGTCTGGTGGCATATGCCTTGCACAACTATGCACATCCAATCTGGGGTCAGATCGCTTAGGTTTGAATCCCAACTGTGTGACCTTGAGGACAGTACTTATAACCTGCTCTGCCTCCACTTCCTCATCTATAAGATGTACCTTAAAGCTACCGTATGGATTAAATGGCAATAATGAATATAAAGCACTTATCAGGGTACCTGGCACAAGGTTAGCAAGCATTCAAAAACTCTTCAATATTATTGTTTCCAGGAACCTTCTTCTAAAATATGTTTTAAGAAGTAAAAGTAGTTTTGAAGCAAGGCTTGAAGAACGCTGTTGGCTTTCTTACCACTGGAGTCTGTTTCAGAATCAGAGTCACTGTCGCTATCTTCAGAATACTTCCTGTGTTTTCTTTTTGATGATTTTTTCTTTCTCCTTTTCTTGGACCTTTCTTTTGAATGGCTAGGCTTCTTCTTTTTCTTTCTTTCTTCTAAGAAAATACAAATAAAAAATTATATTCTAAAAAATTATTTCTGAACATCAAAAGAAAAAGATGATGGGCAATTTGAGTAAAAGCAAAGTCTAATGTTCAACTATTTACAGACTGATTTTTTAGGCGGGGCGCAGTGGCTCACACCTGTAATCCTAGCACTTTGGGAGGCCGAGGTGGGTGGATCATGAGGTCAGGAGTTCAAGACCAGCCTGACCAACACGGTGAACCCCATCTCTACTAAAAACACAAAAATTAGCTGGGCGTGGCTTGTGCCTGTAATCCCAGCTACTCAGGAGGCTGTGAGGCAGGAGAATCGCTTGAACCTGGGAGGCAGAGGTTGTAGTGAGCCAAGAACGCACCACCGTACTCCAGCCTGGGCGACAAAGCAAGACTCCATCTCAAAAAACAAACAAAACCCCCAAAAATCTGGATTTTTTTTAAACCGCTCAATAAAATAGCTCTGTATTTTAAAAATACCCTCTGGGTTTTTTCTTTCTTTTTTTTTCTTTTAAATACCTTCTGAAGTAGAAGCTGAAGTAGTGCTTTTCTTTGGCTCTTCATCCTCTACTGGTGTATGTTCATCAGAACTGAATTTAAATAAAATGGTTATAAGAATTAGGAAAGTGATGAGATATGGACCATGGAGTGTAAAAATATGAACCCCAAATTTTTCAGTAACAGCACTGATTGTCCAAGAACCATTAAAATCAAGCATTGGAGATCCTGAGGCGGAACTTGGGAATCAAAAAAACCAAAACAACAACAACAAAGCAAGCACTGGACTACTTTCGTAAACATGGAGTTCAAGGGTCTACCGCCTTTGTAACAATAAAATAACTTATCATTTGTATAACACTTTAGAGTTTACAGAGTGCTATTTAAACCAAGCAGCATGGAGGATTTAGATTTTCAGAAGAAACCACAGGGAAAAAGTAGAGAAACAAGAGCCATAAGTAAAGATTAAAGAAACTGGATATAAGAAGGTTAAAGAAAGACTTCATAATTGTATTCTAAGCATGTAAAAACAAATGGTAAAGCAGCAACTGTTCTGTCTCCTCAGAGCAAGAACCTAACAAACTACAGTCTAAAGAGATTTTAATTTGCTGCAGAGAATTGTAAAAATGAGTATTATTCAAACTCTACAATAGTTTAGAAAAGGAGTTTCCACATCATATAATCTTTTCCTCTGAAGATCACACTTGCAGTAATTTAAATATTGTCTAGAAAATTATTTTCCAACTCCAATTCAATGCATTCAGGTTCTTCAAGCATTTTCATTTCTTCTTTTAAACAGAGACGGGGGTCTCGCTATGTTGCCCAGGCTGGTCTTGAACTCCTGGGCTCAAGGAATCCACCTGCCTTGGCCTCCCAAAGTGCTAGAATTACATGCATGAGCCACTGCACCTGGCCTCTTTAAGCATTTTCTAAATGTATCTGTAAGAACAGGTTTCAGGACGGGCATGGACTCACGCCTGTAATCTCAGCACTTTGGGAGGCTGAGGTGGGCGGATCACAAAGTCAGGAGTCCGAGACCAGCCTGGCCAACATGATGAAATCCCATCTCTACTAAAAATACAAAAATTAGCTGTGTGTGGTGGTGCATGCCTGTAGTCCCAGCTACTAGGGAGGCTGAGGCAGGACAACTGCCTGAACCCGGGAGGCGGAGGTTGCAGTGAGCCGAGATTGCGCCACCATACTCCAGCCTAGAGACAGAGCAAGACTCTGTCTCAAAAAAAAAATAAATAAATAAAAATTAAAAAAAGAACAAGTTTCACATAGTAATGCTTTATTATCCCGTCATAAATTACAGGTTTACCTGTGAAGCACATTGTCTCAACCTAAAGTTGGCACAGAAATAGAGGAGAGGGAAGAAGAAACTTAATGAGTAACATCAGAGAAAAAAAATAAGAAAAAAGAAAAAGCATGAAGCCTGCAGATAGCATTAGATATAGGAATATTAACTAAAAAAAACCATACTGGTATATTCATTTTAAAAAGTTTCTTTGTAGGCCGGGTGTGACGGCTCACACCTGTAATCCCAGCGCTTTCGGAGCCCAAGGCGAGTGGATCACGAGGTCAGGAGTTCGAGACCAGCCTGGCCAACATGGTGAAACCCCGTCTCTACTAAAAATACAAAAATTGGCTGGCATGGTGGCAGGCGCCTGTAATCACAGTTACTCAAGAGGCTGAGGCAGGAGAATCACTTGAACCTCGGAGGCGGAGGTTGCAGTGAGCCAAGACTGCGCCATTGTACTCCAGCCTGGGCAACAGAGTGAGATTCCCTCTCAAATTAAAAAAAAAATCTCTTTATAAGGCTAACATCTGACATGCAATCTGCTACTTAGTTGAGAAAAAAACAATTTAAAATAATAGGTGTATTATTTAACAATGAACCTTTCTATTAATGGGAAATTCATGCACCCTGAATTATTTTAGATTATGTTAAAATCTACTAGCAACATGTTTTAATCTTTACATATGTTCTGTTTTTAAAACTTAAGGGGTAGAAGAACATAAACCGCAAAAAAGAAGAAAAATATGAGATATATTTAAAGTTCTTCACTTAAACATTTTGACAATATACTCAGAATTTAAACACATGTTATAACATTTTAAAAAGATATTTTTAAATCACTTACTCTGGTTCAGGATTCTTTGGAGAAAGTCCCCATACTTCAGGAGCTCCCAATTCTCCAATTCTCTCTCTCTCACTTAATCTCCTAGCAGATAAAGACATGTAAATTATAACTCAATGGCTGAGTTGTTTCCTAAACATATAATTCAATTCAATAGGAGTCTAGTTAAGCCTTTTTCCCCTTTACATTTTGAACATGAATAAAAACTTGGTTTAAATAAAAAACTCATCACTTAAGGTCTGATGTTCTGATGATACTACCAAATGGTGCAGACTATAGAAATGATGGTCTGGGTGATTGTCAAGTGCATCCCTTCTGCTGAATGCATGACTTAGCTCTTAACTGCTCATTTCATCATCTGTAATATGTGACAGAAATAGTTTCACATTTGGAAATAACTTCATTTGTTTACAGACTTATGAAAGGTGAAGAGAAGTCTCCTTTGATGTGGTCCAACTCTCATTTTTCAGAAACCAAGGAATTAATGAAAATACAAATGATGCATTAGGCGTAGAAAACAACTGAAGTTCTGAAAATGAAAGAACAGCTTTTCTTTTTTCTTCCCAAGATGGAATCTTGCTCTGTTGCCCAGACTGGAGTGCAGTGGTTCGATCTTGGCTCACTGCAACCTCCACCTCCCGGGTTCAGGATTCTCCAACCTCAGCCTCCTGAGTAGCTGGGATTACAGGCACGTGCCACCATACCTGTCTAATTTTTGTATTCTTAGTAGAGACGGGGTTTTACCATGTTGACCAGGCTGGTCTCAAACTCTTGACCTCATGATCCACCCACCTCGGCCTCCCAAAGTACTGGGATTATAGGCGTGAGCCACCATACCCAGCTGGAAAAAAAAAGTTTTTTATTTTTTGTAGAGATGAGGTCTTGCTTTGTTGCCCCGGCTAGTCTCGAACTCCTGGCTTCAAGCAATCCTTCTGCTTCAGCCTCCCAAAGCATTGGGATTACAGGCATGAGCCACTGCACCTAGTCAAAAAGTTTTATTTAACAAAAACTATACTCAGGGCCAGGCACGGTGGCTCATGCCTGTAATTTCAGCACTTTGGGAAGCCAAGGTTGGTGGGTCACTTGAGGTTAAGAGTTTGAGACCAGCCTGGCCAACAGGGTGAAATCCTGTCTCTACTAAAAAAATACAAAAATTAGCTGGACGTGGTGACAATGCACCTGTAGTCCCAGCTATTCAGGAAGCTGAGGCTAGAGAATCACTTGAACCCAAGAGGTGGAGGTTGCAGTGAGCCAAGATCATGCCACTGCACTCCAGCCTGTGTGACACAGCAAAACTCTGTCAACAAACAAACAAACAAACAAACAAAAAAAACCACCCCAAAAAACAACAACAAAAGAACTATACTCAATGAGATACAAGGTTTGTTCTCTCTTGGTTCCTTTTTGCAAAAGGAGAGCATTTTCTATCTATTCTCTAAAGGACACTAAGCTTTATTTCTTTTGTTTTATGCCTGTGGTTTCTTGTTTTAATGTTTGCTATTACTCATAAACTAAAAACAAAACAAAACAAAGACTAAGGCTAATTCCCTCAAAGTTTAGCTGCTTTTGATACCTTTTTTTTTTTTTTTTTTTTTAAGACAGAGTTTTCGCCCTTGTTGCCCAGGCTAGAGTGCAATGGCACAATCTTGGCTCACTGCAACCTCTACCCCCCAGTTTCAGGTGATTCTCCTGCCTCAGCCTCCTGAGTAGCTGGGATTAAAGGCACCGGTCACCATGCCCAGCTAATTTCTGCATTTTTAGTAGAGACAAGGTTTCACTATGTTGGCCAGGCTGGTCTTGAACTCCTGACCTCAGGTGATCCGCCCGCCTCAGCCTCCCAAAGTGCTGGGATTACAGGTGAGTGTGAGCCACCTCGCCTGCCGACTCCATTTGTTTTTTTAAAATCCTTACAAAATAAATATAATTGTAATGAGTGTTTGAATAAATTGTTTTTGCTTCCTTAATCAGGGGAAAGGTATATCTATGCAGAGTAAGATTGAGAGGGTTTCTTGCCTGAAGTAACAGACAATCTAAAAGGTGACATACTTATAGCCATACTTGGAATTTATGGATCTCGGGGGAGGAAGGTGTCTACCAGACTGTTAACTGCAGGAAGTCCTGTTGTCATACCTGTTGCTCCCTGGTTTCATCTGTATTATTAAGATAAATTATTGGCCAGGCGAGGTGGCTCATGCCTGTAATCCCAGCACTTTGGGAGGCTGAGGTAGGCAGACCACCTGAGGTCAGGAGTTCGAGACCAGCCTAGTCAACATAGCAAAACCCTATCTCTACTAAAAATACAAAATTTAGCTGGGTGTGGTGGCACATGCCTGTAATCCCAGCTGTTCAGGAGGCTGAGGCAGGAGAATCACTTGAACCCAGGAGGCGGAGGTTGTGATGAGCCGAGATCACACTACTGCATTCCAGCCTGGGAGACAGAGTGAGACTCCATCTCAAAAAAAAAAAAAAAAAAAAAAGATAAATTATTTATTTTCTAAATGTACATATGCAAGTTTCATCCAAGCAGTTCTGACATCTTTTGGCAAGGATTCTCCAGGAAGAAACCATTTACTTTTTGATTGACACAGCCTGTGGATACTTTTCTGAAAAATTTACTTTGGAGAGATAAGTCTCCAACCTGACTCAGGACTGTTTTTACTGTTTTTACTCCCATGCATGAAACATTAATAGCTAACACTAATGCAATAGTTATTATGTTCCAGGCACCTAATTATTATAATCCCCAAATCCTTAGTACTTATTTTATCCCCTTTTTAATGATGAAGAAATGGAGCTCAGAGAGGTTAAGTAACTTGGCCAAGGTCACATAGCTATTAAGTGGCAAATAAGGGCTTCATACTCAGTCTGATTCTGGAGCTTGTCCTTTTCCTTTCTTTCTTTCTTCCTTTTCTTTCTTTCTTTTTTTTTTTTTTTTTGAAACAGGCTCTCCCTGTCGCCCAAGCTGGAGTGCAGTGGTAAGATCATGGCTGACCTCTCCAGCTCAAGCAATCTCCCACTTCAGCCTCCCCAGTAGCTGGAACGACAAGCATGTGCCACCATGCCCAGCTAATTAACAAAAATTTCTTTGTAGAGTCCAGGTGTCCCTATATTGCCCAGGCTGGTCTTGAACTCCTAGATTCAAGTGATCCCCCTGCTTTGGCCTCCTAAAGTGTTGGGATTACAGGCATGAACCTCTGCGCCCAACCAAAAATGCATAGTTTTAAGGAGAAAAGAAAAGGTTCATAATTATTGCTGTGTAAGTCTTAATATCTTATGTTTTCTAACTGTTAAATTATGTATCAGGCACTGTACTAAATTATTTATATGCACTTACACACTTAAAAATGAGAAAATTAGAAATATTACAGGCATTGAGGGGCAGGTTAAAGTTCCAACAGGTGGGATAAGTCTTGATTCTTTTTCTTCCGGCAGTAGGAGGTAATGAAGTATAGTAATGAAAAGGACAGGCTTGGCCAGGCATGTGGTCACACCTGTAATCCCAGCAATTTGGGAGGCCAAGGGAGGAGGATCACTTGACCCCAGGAATTTGGTATCAGCCTGGGCAACAGGGTGAAACCCTGTCTCTACCAAAAAATACAAAAATAAGCCAGGCGTGGTGGTGCACACCTATAGTCCCAGTTATAGGACTATAGGAGCCCAAGAGGTTGAAGCTCCAGTGAGCTAAGATCGCACCACAGCACTCCAGACTGGGCAACAGAGCTAGACCCTGTCTCAAAAACAAAACAAAACAACCCCCAAACTATGCATTCTTCCATTCCAACATTCACTTTCATTAGAAGTCTAGTCTCATCCTAGCATCACTTTTTGTGGTCAAGATTGAGACCACTTAACAAGACTTCTCAAGGTAGGGTTATCTATAGCTTATCAGATCACTTTTCCTACAGGCATCTAATCGTCTTGTCTGAGGGGAAGGTTTATTTCCTATCCAACTTAAACCCTTGATTTCATCCCTTCCTAATTCCCCACAAAACACTTCTACATATATATCCTATTATCTCAGACCTGTCAGTTCCTTCATTGAACGAGCCATGGTTGAGCACCTATTAAGTACTAGGCACGTAGAGTTCTGTGATCAGAACTCTCCTCTGATCACAGGCTCCTCCATGAGCTCAGTCTAGTGGGGAATACAAATATGTTCACGAATGATAATGACACAACCAAGGAAAGGCTACAATTTTGGTAGGTCTGAGGCTGTCAGCATTATCTGCTAACAAGACAGGAGGCGGAAGGGGGTAGCAGGAGAAGAGGGTACCATATGAAAGGGCCCGCGGGTAAGGGAAAATGTAACGGAAGAAAAGGACGAATAAAGGGTTGTCGTGGGTGGATTAAAGAAAGGAATGAAAACGGGCGCAAGGCAAGCAGAGTGAGCGAAATGCGAATAGTCAGAAGCGGAATGAAAGATAGATCGGACTCCAAAGGCACGTAGGCTAGTACAAGACAAAGTGCGGCGGTCTCACTTACTTCTGCCGCAGGCTCTCCTCCCTCTCCTTGTCGAGGAGGCTGGGCCAAGGCTTGTCGCTCCCGTAGGGGCGCGAGTAGCTGCCATAATAGACTGACGAGGAGGCAGAAGCGAAGGGGATGCCCCGGGGCGCAGAGGGCCGCTCTCGAGAACGCGACCGCGAGCGTGAGCGGTAGGATTGGTTTCGGGAGCCTTGGCTGAGGCCACCTAGCTGATGGCTAAGTCCATTCCGGTCCCCGGAGCGAGAGCAAGAGTGCGAGCGAGAGCGGCGGCCCCGCGGGGAGCGGGCAGATTTGCTGGGCTTCGGACTCTTTGACGAACTGCGACGTCTTCCTCCCGCAACTGAGACCTCCCCATCCGGGCTGCGCGAGCCGGACACCGGAGCCATAGCTACTGGTGGAGCCCAGCAGCCGTGGGAGAAGGGGGCGCTCTCGCGAGCCTAGGAAGAGCTCTCTTTCCTTGGGTCCCGGGACCCGCCGCTGCGGAACACCCCCAAATCTAAGGAAACCTTGCAAACAGTTCCCGGTACGTCTGCAAAACCCTTCCCCGGACCTACGCATGCGTCCCCGACCGGAAGCGATGTGTGTATCGATATAAATAAGCCAGTGGGGCAACTAGATTGTATGCATCCTTCCAGTTCCGAGTGAGGCTCCTCAAGTCGAAGAAAAAGACCAAATCCTATCTCAGCCTTGAACTTGAAACACCTGAAAGGAAGTATATTTCATTGAGTATATATTTATTTTTCTTTTTTCTGTTTTTTTGAGACCTAGTCTCGCTCTGTTGCCCAGGCTGGAGTGCAATGGCGCAATCTCGGCTTACTGCAACCTCCGCCTCTGGCATTCTAGCGTTTCTCCTGCCTCAGCCTCCCGAGTAGCTGAGATTACAGGCACGCGCCACCATGCCCGGCTAATTTTTTGTATTTTTAGTAGAGACGGGGTTTCACCATATTGGCCAGGATGGTCTCGAACTCCTGACCTCCTGATCCGCCCGCCTCGGCCTCCCAAAGTGCTGGGATTACAGGCGTGAGCCACCGTGCCCAGCCGAGTATATTATTTCAAACACCGTATACAGTATACATTTCAATGAGGGGTTGTATGAACAACAGTTAATTCTGCTTGTGTTTCATGTGCTTTCTGTGTGTAATTATATATAAATTGTGTGTGTGTGTGTGTGTGTGTGTGTGTGTGTGATGTATGAAAGTATGAATGTGTCCACGCGTGGTGGCTCATGCCTATAATCCCAGCACTTTGGGAGGCCGAGGTAGGCAGATCACAAGGTCAGGAGTTCGAGACTAGCCTGACCAACATGGTGAAACCCCGCCTCTACTAAAAATACAAAAAATTAGCCGGGCGTGGTGGCGCATGCCTGTAATCCAAGGTACTTGGAAGGCTGAGGCCGGAGAATCTCTTGAACCCGGGAGGCGGAGGTTGCAGTGAGCCGAGATCACACCATTGCACTCCAGCCTGGGCGACCGAGTGAGACTCCATCTCAAACAAAAACTAAAACGAAAGTATGAATGTAAATTTTCTTTTTCTTTCCAATACCAAGCAAATAAGGAGGGTTTTTTGTGACTGGGGATGAGCTATGATGTCTAAGCCCCATATTGCCCTGTTTGCTTAAACGGCGCAAATTTTGTTAATGACTCGTGCCTGATAAACGCCAATTAAGTTTCCGGCCTAGAGAACAAAAACTGCATACTTATCCCTTAGCCACCTGTCTCCACCAATATGCCCCAGCAAAAGGAGGTTTTTGGTTTTTCTGTTTGTTTGTTTGTTTTGTTTTGTTTTGCGACTAGGACTCACTCTGTTGGCCAGTATGGAGTACAGTGCTCACTGCAAACCTCCGCCTCCTGGGCTCAAGCAGTCCTCCCGCCTGCAACACCAAGCCTGGTTAATTTTTTTTTTTTTTTTTTTTTTTTTTTTGAGGTGGGTGGAGGAGAGACAACCTTGCTGCCCAGGCTGATCTCGAACTCCTGGGCTCAAGTGATCCACCAGCCTCGGCTTCCCGAAGTGCTGGGATTATAGGTGTGAGCCACCACGTCCGGCCTGTATTTTTTTCCCCAAAACGTGTTATTTATTTTTTTAATTTTTGAGGCAGGGTCTCACTCTGTCACCCAGCCAAAACGTGTTATTTAATTTTTTAATTTTTGAGGCAGGGTCTCACTCTGTCACCCAGGCTGGAGTGCAGTGGCACGATCTCAGCTCGCTGCAACCTCCACCTCCCAGGTTCAAGTGATTCCCCTGCCTCAGCCTCCTAAGTACCTGTGAACTACAGGCCGCTTCACCACACCCAGCTAGTTTTTTGTATTTTAGAAGAGCCGGGGTTTCACCATGTTGGCCAGGATGGTCTTGATCTCCTGACCTTGTGATCTACCTGACTTGGTCTCCCAAAGTGCTGGGATTACAGGCGTGAGCCACCGCACCCAGCTAAGAGCCATCTGTTTGTGCCGCACTGGCTAACTCTCAGAGGATGCCCTATTCACAGCTCCCCTTTATTAAACAGCTCCCTAAAAGTGAACATCAGCCCTGGGCCCAGTCATTGCCATGGATTTCTTTCTCGCCTAGCTTTCCACAGCCTCCTTTTACACTTCTGATTTTAAAACATCTTTTGTTTCATCTTTTTTCCCCTTGTTCAAAAAAGAAATGGACAGAGATTCTTCCTTGCTTTCTACCTTGCTTCCATTTTTTTTTTTTTTCTTAATCCAGAATTCTTGGGCCTGGCATAGGAAAAAGTCATGCTCCAAATCTGCACGTCTCATAGTGGCCCTAATTTTGTCTGGGTGCTGTGCTTGGGATGAGTCTAGGCAAATCAGTTATGGTGCCTATGCCTGAAAGTCACCACTTCAATTTTCTGTGTCTTTTGATTGTGAAAGTCAGAGCATGTGTATGAGGCATCTTTTGTGTTCCCAGAATCTAAAATACTGGCATATACATGTTAGGAATTCACACATTCACTTTAAGATCTACCCTTTGGCTGGATGTGGTAGCTCATGCCTGTAATTACAGCACTTTGGAAGGCTAAGGTAGGAGGATTGCTTGAGGCCAGGAGTTTGAAACCAGCCTGGGTAACAAACTGAGACCTGGTTTCTACAAAAAATAATTTTAAAAAGATGTACACTTTGTATGGGGGAACCCAGCCCATTGGTGTGTAGTTGATAATTAAATTTTGTTTATACCATTGTGTTACCAGAAGAGGGTGTCCAGGTTCCTGGGTTTTGAACAAAGAATTGGACAAAACACAGAAACAAAGCAATAAAACAAGCCACAAAAGCAGAGATGTATTGAAAACGAAAGTACAGTCCACAAGGTGAAGCAGACCCAAGCAGCTGCTGAAGGGCCCAGTTACAGAATCTTCACTGGTCCAAGTACCCCCTGGAAGTTTTCCATTGGCCACTTGGTGTTCACCTTATGTAAATGAAGTGGTGGCCTGCAATCAGTCTGATTGGTTGCAGAGAGCAAAAAAAAAGAGCCAATCAGAGATACTTTCAATTTCCCATCTGCCAGTGCAGAAAAGATGGGGGTTTGCAAAGGGAGTAGCCACTTGTCCTTTTCTTACTTAGGCGTGGAAAGTTAGAGTTTTCCTTTTAATTTAGTTCTAGGAAGTCAGTGTAAATGGCCTTAGATTCTCTGCCTCCAGATCTTATTCTTCTGCCTCAATTGCACTCAGGGTCCCTGCCCCATAGTTCCGTGCTGATATCTGGGATGTGAAGTGTGATACTGACTGAGGCAAAAGATAAATTACCAGTTTCAAAACAAATACTAATTGCATGATAACAGTTTCCAAGCTGTTAGACTGCTTTCCTAAAAAAGCACAGAACTGGCTTTTGCTCATGGGTTATATTTTCGGTTGGCAGATTTTGCTTTGCAAAAAGATTGGGAGAAATGAGGACTGTTGGAGAGGAAGCATACTTGGCCTTTTCTGAAGAGGGTACAAGTTGCATCAACCTCTCAAGGCCTGGAAGTGTTGACACAAGGACACTTACTACCTTCAAGAGAGGTTGTACTTTTCCTAGAGGTAAAATGACCCAGTGCTTCAGCTTGAGTGGGATCCTTGAGTTTTCAGCCCTTTGAAGGAGAGTTTTGTGCAGGATGGAGGTGGTTAAGTGCTGCGGAGCTGAAGCTGGGTTGGTACGCACTGTCCATAGGATTCAGTACCCAGGGAGGGCATGGTCGCTAAATGGCTGGTCTTCTCTGGGATGAACTGTGTGCTTTCTTTGGGAGGCTACCCTACTGCTCTGGGCCTGCACCCTTAATCTGCAAAATGAAGGGACAAGGATCCACTCTCCTTGGGACACCCTACGGCCTTGGCTTAATGGGCTGGAGTAAAAGGAAAGTTTCCAAGGAATCCCAAAATAAAGCTGATGTCATGTAGCATTCTTAGAATGAGGGATATGTAGAGAGGGTTGTGTTATAGCAACTGACTTCAAAGGATGGCCACTTCTTTTTTTTTTTTTTTTTTTAAGACAGGGGTCTTGTTATGTTGCCCAGGCTGGCCTTGAACTCTTGGCCTTGAGTGATTCTCCCACCTCAGCCTCCTGAGTAACTGGGTCTACAGGTCCATACCACTGCCCATGGCTTGTCACCTAGGCTGGGTGCACTGATGCCATTTCAGGCCACTGCAATCTCTACCTCCTGGGTTCAAGTGATTCTCATGCCTCAGCCTCCTGAATAGCAGGGATTACAGGCATACACCACTACGCAGGGCTAATTGTTGTATTTTTAGTAGAGATGAGGTTTCACCATGTTGGCCATGCTGGTCTCTAACTCCTGGACTCAAGTGATCTGTCCCACCTCGGCCTCCCAAAGTGTTGAAACTACAGGCATGAGCCATTCATTATGCCCAGCCACTTTTCAGAGTATTTAAAACTCCACTCCATGCCCTGGACTATAGGAAGTCGAACGAGACCTACTTGGGCTTAACAGTCAGGAAGTCCAGTGAAGGGTTCTATTTAAGCCACACTATTTCACTTCAAGGAGTCCAGTGTTTCTTAGAGGAGTCACCACAGCACCAAATGACTGCATGGGAAAACACCACAACCACAGGTGTGCTCAGAGCATGCAGAGTTGCAAGCACAACACCCTTTGATTAGAATTCAGACAAATGTATTTTTATTCTTTTGAAAACAACTCAGAACAAACTCTATTCCCCTAATTTGTATATGTTTATTGTAACCCTTCTCTTTATTCAAAAAGTCATTTTTTTATACCTGTCTTGAAGGAGACATGTTTTTGATGTGAAACAACCCTAGAAACTTCAAAAAGCAGACCATGCACAGTGGCTCACATCTGTAATCCCAGCAATTTGCAAGGCCAAGGGAGATCACTTAGATCAGGAGTTCAAGACCAGCCTGGCCAACATGGTGAAATCCCATTTCTACTAAAAAATACAAAAATTACCTAGGTGTGGTGGCAGGCACCTGTCGTTCCAGCTACTTGGGAGGCTGAGGCAGGAGAATTGCTTGAACCCAGGAGGCAGAGGTTGCACTGAGCCGAGATTGGGCCAGGAGCCAGTTTGTCTCAAAAAAAGAGAGAGAAACTTCAGAAAGCAAAACC